AATACCAAGAGGAACTACTTGTTAACAGGAGACGGTATTGTCCAATCTACTACTAGTCAAGTGACTCTACTTGAATCCAATGCCCTGATACCATTCCTTTCTCTGATGGAAGAAGAAGCAAAAAAAAGAAAAAAGGAAAGGGGAAAAAGCCACGTTTATGGGCACACACTCCCCAGTAATATACAAGCAAATCCAAGCCTCCTCCCCTTGTTTACAGCATCACCACAGTATTTAAGAAACATGTCTACCTGCAGGGACTTTAAGGCTTCTATGACAACATGCCAAAGGTATGCTGGGTAACTACGCATGTGACTGACACATTCTGTGGACTTGAAAGTTGCCTGTGGCTCTAACCTAAACAAGCGCTTTCTTTACCCTCTCTCTCTGGGTTTTACCTCACTAAAGCTTTCAGAATAAATTCTGGTTTCTTTTGCAATACAACAGAGAATACAATTGGTAACAATGAGATACTTCCTAATGGTAAAACAGGCATGACATTCCTGACCTACCTCATAATTTCCTTAAAGTTTTTTTTCAGATTCAGCCACAGACAAAAACCAAAATAGATCTCTAGAAACATATTTACTTCTCCACAAACTTCCTCCCCAGTCTTCCTCTATTAGAGTTTGTCAAATGTCTTCTCAGAAATCTTCAACATGTTGAAGATATATTACGTTCATTTTGGCATCATTTCTATATTAACATGCCCTCAAGGACCACATTTCTCTGTTACAAATTATATTGTTCATCTTAATGTAAGCTTTGGAGGTAGTTCAGGATTTTTATACACTTTGGTTTGTACAGAGTAATAAATTGTGTTTCAAACACAAAGACACATCCTGAACACAGCCAAGTCACTGGGATAATCCATGGTTTATCACTCTCTACTTCAATACTTTGTCCACTGAACTATGATGTCAGAAATCTAAGCTTGATTTGTTTTTAAGTACATAATCCATTAACTGTTTCCATATGCCATAACTGTTCAGTTGAGAAATTATTTATAAACCAGTTTATTGACTCTATCTGGCAAATATGACACACCTGTTATAAAATGTGATTACTTCAGAAAGCTAACAATTGTGGAATCACATTTTCATAATAAATCAGTCTAATAAGAGAATTAGACTATTCATATACTTTCAGAAAGCCCTTTAATCCCTATTAAGTTAACAGTTTGTGAATAATGAAAGTAATTAATATTCATTTTACTTGATAAATCCAACACCAATAACCTGTTAGTGTATGTTAATCCATTTTCCAACAGCCTGTAAAAATTAACCAACAGATGCTTCCAATCTGGTATAAAATACACAGGTCATTAGCATTATTTTGATGATACCAAATGTTCAGTGTATGAATATTGTGATTAAATTTCCGAGAGATCTATAAACAATGCTCTTTTATAACCTTGTTAAGCCTTAAGAGAAGCCTGAAACAGTGAAACATGACAGTCTTTTCCACAATCAAGATCAGCACTGGTTATCTCACTCCTGGTCATTAGACTTCACCTGCGAACTTGACTGCACATCACCAAGGCCACAAGGCAACGTGAGTCTAGGGCCATGTCCACCTCCTCACCAGTGTCCCCAGTGCCAAGCACAAGTCTTTACATACAACGTGTCCCCTGTAAATACTTGGCATGAACAACTGTAGACAAATAGGATACAGAAAAAGCAGGAGAAATTAATGAGGCAGATGAGAAAAAAAAATATGATTAGGAAAAATCCAACATGTTATTTTCAAAAGAATCTAAACTATGGAAAACAGACTCATCTCAAAAGTTTAGGATGGAGAGAAGCAAGGAAACTAAAGTGAGATACTTACTAGGGAAATAGAGTATAAAAAAGAAAATGATATAACTGAATCAGAAAAAAATGTTGACTTCATAGGAGATGACTTAGAAAGGAGTTTCCGTACTCCTTATAATATGACACAAGACACGCTCCCATTGAAGCAATGTTATAAAAGTTATAGGAAGGAGATTAGTTTAAAAAGCAAAATAAGTAAAATCTAACTGGAAAAAAAAGAGAAGTAAAATAATAAAGAGCAACATGAGTTAAGAGGAAATGCTCAACTCTCTCACCAAGAACATCTTGCTCCATCTGTGAGTTGGTGGGGCAGGGTGGTACTGTGTGGAGTTAAAACTGTTTCAATCAGCAGACCAAGAGAAAAACCTCAGAAGAGATGCAGTAAAGATTAAACAAGGTCACACGAAGAAGACCCAGTTCAGCGCTGGTATACCACAGGTGCTCAATAGGAATGATTAGTTCCTCTTCCTTTTCCGGGTATGAGACCTCTGAAACCCAATTATCTTAACCTAAATGCCTCATAAACCTAAAGCATTATAAGACAAAGAACCATACTTGGTAACAAAAAAATAAATAACATGAGAGAAAATTCCAAGGTTCTTTTAAAATTACTGCCTTCAGTTCTGTTTTTGTTTTTTTTTCTTTTTCCTTTCTGCCAACTTCAAATGCACAAAGATTGGTGTCTACCATTTAAAATGCCTGGAACGGGACATTCACCTTTGTAATCAGAGAAAGAGCCCTGGTTCTTAGTCCAAGGAGGTACTACTATTAAAAAAAAAAGAACACCTTTTCTCTAAAAATCGGTAATTTTTCAGTAATCTGAATCCTTTGTTCTTCTACCAAGCTGTGATGCAAGCCAACGAGGACCATCAACCCATGTCCGTGCCTCTATCGCCCCCTGCCTGCTAGAGAGGGGAGAGCAACTGTATTTTCATTTTGAATTCTGCAGAAATGACAAAACTGATTCAAAGAAAACTTCAGCATCATGGGAAATAGGCAAAAGTAGCAGCCAGGCCATGAATAAAGGAACAAGAAGCAACATATCCAACACCCCTGTGTCTTGTCTAAGTTTTCCAGGCACCTTTGTCTTGCCTTCCTTTCTGATCTTTCCTATATCTACACAAAGTCCTGTCCTTCTGAAAGCAGTAACGAATGACCTTTTCTAATAAAATACTAATCAGACCAAAAAGCACACTTAAGGCTCCTCAAATAATGCTTTCTATGAATTATTCTTTAAAATCCCGACCAAAAAATCAGTTGCCTTCACAGCTTGCCTCCTGTTGGCATTGTAAGATGTTGGTATTGCCCAGCGTTACGACCATGGGCTTCCTCATCTTTCCAATGATCCTGGAGATATTACATAGTGTCACAGAAAAGAGGAAGCTGCATTTGAGTTGAGAGAAAAGATGTCGTAGGCCTCTGCCAGCCTCTAAGTCAAACCGAAGAGATATTCGGGGCACTGGGGATACACACAGAGTCAGAGAGATACTGAAATATGGAATATTCAGAAAAGGATCATCATCTCCTCACCTTACCCTTTACAACTGGTATTAGATTGAGCTAATGTCTATTTTTTTCAACCTTAAATCATAAGACTAAAGTTAGATGACTTAAGAATTTTTTAAAGGTCCAATTATTTCATTTAAGGCTAACACTACAGCTAAATTGAAGGCATGCTAACAAGTTTCCCTTCTGAGCCTCATTAATTAAGAAAGTAATCAGAGTACAGAGAGAAAAAAAAGAGTAGCTGATGGCAGTACTACTTAAACAGCTTTTAGATATCACCCTTTCCACCTACAAGAAAAGCAAAGGGAAAACTAATCAATTCCAGATTATGAAATCCAAAATTCTGAAGTGCTTTAAATGCAAATACACATTTTAACTGCCATATATTTTCCTTGATTGCCTGACGAGTGCACTAATCTTTTTCAAAGAAAATTTTGATTCTCCATAATCAAAAGGTAAAATTAAGATATGCTTACTTCACAAGTTTTACTAGGGTTAGCTTACTAGAAATTCCCCTGGTTTTCAAAGAACAAAATATATTATTTTTACCATTTTAGTCACGAAAAATGGTGTTCCAAAATATCTGACAAAGGCTTTGGAGTTAAAACAAATTCTAGAAATCTAATTTACAATCACCTGTTAAGAGTTTCGAACTTACATTATGTTTTAGAAAGAATTTCTAAGTTATATTTTAGAAAGCATTTCAAAGGAATGCAAATGATATTTTTTGGTATCTGCCAGCATCCCTTGGTTGCTGTGATGATCAAGTTAAATCAAGTACATAAAGCATCTGGCATGGTACCTAGTATGCAGCAGGCACTTTAAGAAGTCAGCTTTTTGGTCTACACCAAGCATTCCCAGCTCTGTCCAATGTAATCTCTCCCCATCACCTATCTCTCTGTTTGATGAGCCCAGGGATATAAGTGGCATAAGTCTGCTAAAAGGTTCCTTTCTGAAAATTAAAAGATAATGCCTGATATAAGTGGTTTATACTACAAATATAAAATGTGTTACTCAAAAATGAACTAAACAGTGTATCAACCCTGAAAAATAACTGGGAAGCCCATGACAAAATCAAAATTTCAGACAAGAGTAATTCCTAAATATAATTGTTAAAAAGAGAAAATTCACAGTGCATAGGGAACAGCTATCTGTGGGTAACTCTTGAAAATGAATGTCATTGTTCATAATGAAAAGATGATATAATCTACTCACAGACTCTATATCAAGCTACCTTTCAAGATAATCTATAAATCTGATCATTTCTATCCCATGTGAGTCATACTAATTAATTACATGGTAGTCACTGCAACATTAAAGAGTGGGAAAATTAGGACTAGAGGAAGACTCACATTTTGACTTTGTTTTTCCAGTTCTCATTGACTAGAGGGAATTTTCATATCAAAATTTTCTCTGAAAATATCCTCCTTTATGAAAGTCTAACTTAGAATATCTTCAAAGAAGGTATCATGTAGAAAATTTTTTAACTCTGGTATTAAATTAATCATTTGCATTTTAAAAATTGCTCAGTTGATACTCTACATAAAAAAAACTAACTTTCATTTATCCATTAGTAATGTAAAAACATCACTTATAGGATACAAATAATACTATTGAAAGCATCTAAAGAGTTGCAATATTAAAAATGCTAAAAGTAACAAAAATCCAAGATATTAAACTTACCTTTTGGCTGGCAACAAAACGTATTCTCAAGTTTACAAAGCAAATCCACACTTTCATACTTATTTTCATTTACTTGTACCCAGAAACAGTCTTCAGTCATTTCCTGAGGTCTGATCTGCAGTCAGAGAGCAGACAGATTCAGAGAAGGTTGAGTGTGCCATCTGTCCCCCACCCAGTCACCATCTACACACCCAGCACCCCATAGCTGCCAGCAGATATTTACGGAGTAATCACCATAAGATTTTTTCCAAAGTGTGTTCAGTGAAATACAAGTTCTGCAGAAAGTTAAGGTGTTATTAGGGAAAAGGAAAAAAAAAAAGGTTCCACTCTCAAATAGTTGGGAATTGAAGCTGAATGCAACGAAGTTTGTTCTTTCTCAGTTATACTTCTCCTAATCTTTAGCAATGTTCAGGTTTATGTGAAAGTGAAACCATCTTTCTGCAGGATTCAGAATTCCTGTGTCTCAACTAAATATCCACCTCTGACAGCAAGTAATAATTTTTGCAATAGCTACCAACATTAAAAAATTCCTAAGAATACTAACTTTTCTGTACTTTTTAAAACAGTTCAAAATACATGGTATAATCATAATATTAAATTATGTTATGTATATATTTAAATGTTACGTATGCATTTGACTATAAACCAAATCCCAGCACAATTATCATAGACTCCTACCCAATTTATAAACTAGAAAGCTTTAGTCAATAGTAAAGGGCTTTAACTCAACACTTTTCTTATAAGAATTCCTATTTATTTAATGCCATTTTGAACAAGGTTCCCATTGGAAATTATATACAAGTAAATACAAATTTAAGCTTTAATCTAAGAAACAGTATTATTTCTCTACTTGTTTCTGTTTTACCTTTAACCAATTTAATCTTCTCATGCTGATTTCCAGTTTAAATTCTTTCTTTGGTTTTAACCCAAAAGGCAGGGTCGGTGGAAGGGGCGCGGTGTGTCCGCTGAGAAGTCCCAGCGGAGGGGGTGGGGGCACAGGCCCGCCGCCAAGCGGTAAGGGCGGCCCTGGGGGCGGCGGGGGCGGCGGGGGCGGCGGGGCTGGTGGGCCGGTTCCATTTCCATCTGAAGGAGGCAAACAGGTATCGGGTGGCAAGGCACCAAACTACAGGAGAAAAACAATAAGAACCATGACAAAGAGCTCTCTACAAAGCAGGTTCAAGTATACGTTTCTCAAAAATACTGTTTTAAACCAAATACAATTGAATTTCAGTAATGCCATGTGGTTTAACCTACAAACAAAATTTCAACAAATATTTTCCCAATTTAAGAGCATTATTATAGCTTTTGTTTTCATAAAAATGTAATTGTCAGAAATATTACTCCCCATTTTAAGGTAGTTATGGTCATCTGGGTGGAGATGTCCAAGAGGCAAATAGTGACCCAGGTCTAAAAGATCTGCAAGTCAGCAGTCTCAACAGGACAGCTGAAGAAGCCATTTGTGCAGGTAAGTTCACCCAGAGGACCGAGCGTGAGGAAAGGTTTATATACAGAATTCTGCGGGACACCAGCATTTAAGTTAGTAAATAAATAAATAAATAAGATCCAGAAAAAGAGGGAAATAATATTGCCACATCATGCCTTTACCCTTCAGGAAAAATTAACTAAGATTCTTAGTAAGACCTGGAAAAGCAAAACACGACCGGGTTACTAGGCACTTCTATCCTTACGCTTCTGTTGCTTAATAAAATGCATTTTTACTACCATAAAGGTGATAGGAGTTGATAAATTTCTGTGATGATGATTTCCTGAAACCAACTTTAACTCTAAGGCATATAGCTATATAATTATTAATAAATCATTTTAAAGTTTTATGCTAAAATTACGGAAAATAGATTACATACAAAGGCTTGAAATCAACATCCAAAATCAGCACAAATAAAAAGTATTTAAGAGAAATTGAGACCACAATCAAAAAACATGCCTTATCAAAACCATTAAGTATAAAGAAGAATCACTTCAGTGCTGGGTTGCTGTGATAGTGGATACCACAGCCCTTTGAACCTTAGGGATATATGTACATTGTACTCACATTCAATAGACACGTATAGTTAACAACTAATGTCTTAAAACAAAGGTATAGTTGAATTTCTGCTCTAGACTTTGATGCGTGTGAGTGACTTGAGAATGTCACTGATGAGGCCCAGACACCATGAGCACCTTGCCCCCCAGTCTGTCCTCAGCGTCTAAGAGCGGTTGGCTGTTAAGTGACGCAAGGAATGAAATCATGGATAACAGAACACATTTTATTCATAACCTTTAGCATGGCGTGGATGAAAGAGAAGTATATTAAGGCAAATGCATACATTTCATGAGAAATACAAACTAATTCAAAGAAAGGATTTGTCAGTTGTTCTTCAAAACTGAGTAGGTGGCCAACGTCGAGTCTCTAATGACAGGCTCTCTTCTGACAGACATAAACAGAGGTGATCACTGTACACAATCTAAAACAACAGAGGAGACTGCTTGATTTAATCTGTTTCAAAATGTAAATATATTCCCGTTTTATATAAAATCATATGCAGCAATAACATATTCAAACACAGTGAATATGTTTTCTATAAACTAAAAATTTCTAGCATAGATTTACAAGAAATGCTTCAATTGGGAAAAATTAAAAGAAAGGAAAGTCTAAATTTATACTAGCCTGGACCAGGAAAAAATTGTCATGAATATTTCAGTGTCTAAAGCTCAATCTGAAATATAGAAAACACAGCCGAATGTTTCTTTAATATGAGGGAGAGGGAACCACATAAGAAAGATGAAAACTTTCAACAAATTGTGGTACCTTCTCTTGCAGCACTAGAGAAAGATGATCATTGAGAATTTTCTTGTAGATAGATTCTATTTTTTCCCCCAAAATTAAACACTAACAGATAATTCCTAGAGTATCTTCAGATAGACTCTGCAACAAAACTATACACTAAGTAAAAAAGAGAACAAAATTGCAAATAACATAGGAAAAAGTATGCCTAACATTATTTCGACATAACCATAAATTAGGATGAAAGGAAGATAGCAAAACTATACTTATTGCTCATCATCTTGCATGTAAATCTACATGAAGGAATTTAGCTATGGATATTCTACTTCCTTACTTTCATCCATGTAAAACATGTAGATAATGTATTTCTTGCTACCTGTTTTGTGTGCAGAGAGTATATGTGAGCTATCTACTTCATAATCCAGATTTGCTCCCTTTTTTGTCATGTTTTAAATCTGTTTACTTTTGGAAATTGAAAAATTATCAGAAAATGTTCTCATTCAGCTAGAGGTTATCTTTCACTGCAAGGTACCCATAGGCTGAAGGTTTTGAAAAATAAATAGCTTGAGCAATAATTTTCTGTAGTGGGATAAAGATCAGTGATGAATGACAAATCTAATAATAAAAGACTTTCTTACCCTTAGTGCTTAATTACCTAGCGAACACATGACATCAGGAACAAAACCAAAATGCAACACAAGGAAGATATTAGACATTTTTTAAAAAGCAAATTAAAAAAAAAGGAGGCAAAATAATTTTAAAAATTTAAACACAGAATAGAAATATATATAAACAAAAATATGAAAACATACAAGTAAAATTAAAGTTTCAACATTTTGATGCTGTGAGGACATGACACAACCTTTGTTACCCTGTGAGTTTTCAATACCCAAATTCACTCCAGGTAGATAGTATTTTACCTGTGATTTAAAAGCTTGTAACTCTGCTTGAAGCTCATTAATCTCTGCCTCTTTTTTCTGCAATTGAGCCTGAGTTTCTTGGTGGTCGGTAAACTCTTTTTCAAACTGAAAAAAAAAAAGAAAAGAAACATACAAGACACAGAGAAAGATGACAATAAAAAGCACTATTCTTCATATAGAAATTTGACTCTAATGATCTGTTAGTGACACATAACTTTTATGAAAGCAGTGGTAGTAGGGTTTTGCTAAGTCACCCACAGCTTTTCTCTAGGTCCCTCAGGGTCCCACCAAAATCATTCATTTGAAAAGGAGCAGACAAAGCCAGAAGTGAAATCTGTGACCTTCTCCTCTCAGCAGAACAAACTGGGCTTACAGTTATCCAGAACACTGGCATTTTTCTTAAGAGTCCCAAAACATCATTGCAACTTTGTGTAAAATAATGGAGAGCAAGGCACTGTACTGAATTCCCTGACCCCTACCTGTGAAAACTTATACTTGAAATGTCTCAAGTTTATCAACATGATTTAAAAGAATTTCATTTCAATATTTTTTATTAATAAATAACTCCACTTTGTAAATGCATCAATCATTTCCTTTTTTTGTAAAACAACATCAGAAAGTTAAGGACCTAATATACATTCTAATCTTCATCAAAAGTTTAAGAGGATAAACTCCATCTTCTTTATCATTAATCTTTGGAAAATTAATGATAAATTAATCTTTCAAAGACATTAGTGCAACACTTTGAGGGAGGAAGGCAAATGATAAAATTTGGTAAATCCAATGAGTCTTCTAGTTGATAGAGCCACTTATCACAAGCCACCATCCTGCACTCAAAACAGCTTCACCTTGCCATCATCTTCACTAAAATCCCCCACTAGCAGAGATAAACACGAGTTCTGTCTCATGATCAAGAACACGTACTTGACTCCATTTTAAAAAAGAAAAAAGTAATCACTAAAAAATACAAATACTTCACAAATGTAGCCTTGAGACTTTAAAACAGTCAAATGAGGGTTACTCTTTGGATTAGGAATAGGATCTCCATACACTGGTGGCTTCCAAATCCCCATCATCAGTTCCAGATTCACAACTGCATTCCAGACTGCAAACCAGTCTATAAATATATTTCCAATTTAAGAAAGGTTTTTAAAAAGTAAGGAAGCATTCCAGTATTTTCAAAACCAATATTGTCTTTCTCTCTACAAACTTTGGTTTTTTTAATACTGCTGTTCCATCCAAAAGATAGCTCACATATCATGACTCCTTTGTCTTAAATCTTCAGTGGCTTAATTATAAAAACCACACTTATTAACCTAATACCTAAGAACCACCTGACATCTGGTCCCATTCCACTTCTTTATTCAATAAGTATCTAAAAGCATGACTATTATGTGTTTCTCAGAGTGGCAGGGACTAAGGGTACAGAGTTTAAAAGAATATGATCATTGTGTTTAGTAAGCATAGTGTCTGGTGGCAAAATCAAAACAAACTAACCATCCAAAATCTATGCAAATTACTCACAATAGAGAAAGGCCAGGAGGCGTGCGTGTCATTCCTGGAGCAATGATGCTTGATCTAAGGCTGGAAGAACCTGAGTCACCAGCTGGGAAGCGCAGCTTGCCTGTGACTCATTCGGTGTGAACATGAATGACAAGCATCCCTTGTAAGGGCCACAGAACGAAGTCTGAGAACAAACTGCAGAGGATGAAGCTAGAGATACACCAGAGCCAAACTATGGAGAGGAAGTTCACAATAAACCAAAAAGCTTCCTTCTTTTCCCTAATAACTACAGACAACTTTTAGAGTATTTATCACAGGAAAGCAACGTAATCAGACTTGCACTCTGGAAAACCCAGCGAGCAGCAGCACGTACAGTGGACGGAACGGTGTGCTGGGCATCAGTGCAGTGTGGCGCTGCAGCTTCCCGGAAGGGACGCAAGCCCTGCTGGAGCACAACAGAAAACAGCACAAGAAAAGGGGGGAAAATATATATACATAAACAGAATAAAAAATTAGCATCTGACTGAACAGAGGAAATGAGCGAAGGACTATAACTAAGATAACTTAGTTATCTTGTTCTGTTGCTTTGAAAGCTGGCAAAAAAGGATTATAATCTGAGGGAATGACATTTTTAGAGACAAGAATGAAGAATTTGGTTTTGAAGAGGTTAAGCTTGGTATAAGAAATTCAAAATAAATGTACTTGTGCCTCCTCCTCGGACAGTCACCTTGCTGCCTCCCACCATCCATCGGCTCACATTAGCCATCACTTCCCAGGGCAAGTGCTGCCCAGCCACCCGAGATTCTTCCTACAGGCTTACACACCACACAGGGTTTTCCTACAACAACTGTTATCCTCCTGTATTATAAAACCATCAAAATGTAGTATCATACACCTCAGGAATGCTCACCAACCTGGAAGCTCACTAATAATGAGAACTTTTCTGTTTCATTCATCACCTTTCCAAAAGCTTTATATTTACAAATTAAACACTTCTGTTGAGTGAAATCATCAGCCAATTCCTGTCAAACTTTCCTTTATATGGTGAATAACCATGTCAATATCATAAAGGTCCTCAATCTCCCAGTCTCAAAAATCTCTATGAAGTCATTTTCTCTATTCTCCTCTCTATGACCACTCAGTCAATGTTTACTGCTGCTTAGTAAGAAATAGAAAACTAAATTCTTATGAGAGTAAGAATGAAGAAGCCTTTCTCATAATATCAATATGTACACTGTCCTGTCTTAGGTCTTAGAATAAGATGCAGAAGGAAAAAGAATTATTTATAGGAACAAAAATAAAACTATCAAAACAACCAGAATCATAGTTACTACACTCAAAGAAAGCTTACTAAATTAACTTTACCATACTGAGAGTAGCTGTATTACTTACAAGAGAGATAAATTTCTACATCCTCCCCTATAAAAGGATCAGACGAAATATAAACTTTGCTTTAGCATTTTTATAATATCCATACTGAAATCACAGTAGCCTTGAGGATAAAATGAATCTCCATTAAAGATGCACTTTACAAAAACTGAAATGATAGGCTTCCTCTCCGAAAGGAGTCAGTAGAGCAATATTACACTTACAAAATTACATGCAAAAATGTCAAGAAACACAGTTAAGGTTGAGGTTCTACTTAATTTCATTCCCTCAGGTAAGTGAATTAGTGCATCTATACAAGAAGGTTGATAACTCAATACTCTCTATGTACTTTCTGACATTTCTAGTCTTCATTTTTCAAATTTATGCATTAAAATAAAGAATGTGTCTAGCAACCATGATAGCTTCCTGCCTAAAGCAAAGTATTTACATGTGTCCTTATAAAGCTATCAGAAAAAATTCTTGCTGACACATACAAAATGGTATGGCAATAGAAATCTTTTATGGAGTGAACAATATTTTCTGAATATACCTAAGACACATAACTGCTGACTAAAAGGAGACAACTAACCTTGAACAAGGTCTTTCTTCTATTTACACTAAAAGCTTACAATTTTAAAACAATGTTTTGAGAAAGTTATCATTATACAAATACTGTAAGCCAAAAAAAAAGATTATAAAAGCCAATTTAAACTATCTGAGATTCATTCAAACCAAGTAACTTGAAAGTTTGCTACTCCTTTCCTACAGTGAGTGAAAGTCTTATTTACTGAGCTTGGAATACAGTCAGTGGGTGAGAGGTCACCATACAACACAAACATCTATCAACTGGAACACTTATGACACTTAAAGTATCGATTACTTTGTTTCCCCCATTAACTAAGTCACTTTGCAAAAATGGCGATGTTAATATCCACAGCTGTAATCCGAGCCTGCAGCCAAAGGTCGGGGAGATAATACTCTCTAAGGATTTGGTGAAACTTAGGACTTCTTAGACAGGACCCTTACAAAGTTCTTCATGTGAAAGTGAAGCTTAAAGTCACTCAGTCATGAACGACTCTCTGTGATCCTGTGGACTATACAGTCCATGGAATTCTCTAGGCCAGAATACTGGAGTGGGTAGCCTTTCCCTTCTTCAGGGGATCTTCCCAACCCAGGGATCGAACCCAGGTCTCCCGCATTGCAGGCAGATTCTTTACCAACTGAGCCCCCAGGGGAGCCCAAGAATACTGGAGTGGGTAGCCTTTCCCTGCTCCAGGGGATCTTCCTGACCCAGGAACTGAACTGGCCTTTCCTGCATTGCAGGCAGATTCTTTACCAACTGAGCTATTAGGGAAGCCCTAAGATGTTTTATCTTAAAAGTCTATTAAAAATGAACAATTCTCTCAAGGTTCATTTAGGGCTTGACACATCAAAAATATAGACTCTCTGGCATGGTGTCTAACTCAGTCTAAATGTTCCTTGAGTACAATGTTCATTGAGGTAGTGCTAGCAGTTACTACCATGATTCCTCCAATGAAAGGAACCAGCCCTAAGAATTCAAATCAGAGTAAACTACTTAAAATGTGAAGACTCCAACAACAAAAGATAATAAAATTTAAAAATAAAATTTTAAGATCAAGAACCAGTCTAATAGGTACCCACTAAGTAGAGACAAAAGCACAATACACTATCTTAAAGAAAAGTGGGGGATGGCTGGATGGTCAACAACACTACTGGGACAGGAACAAATGAAACTGCTGACATCCAATACTTACGATCTATGAAAAAGACAACTTTAAATGGTTCCGCTTAGTCTTATGAAGCAACTTAAAACAAAAACTAAATTAAACTTTCACTTAAAATTTTTAGATATAATTTCAATCTTAAGGGCCTAAATTATCTGAGGCCTTGAGAAATACTCCAATCTTAAAATTCTAACTCTATATTGTCAATCATTTATTTATTCATTCACTCATTCAAAAAATATGTTTAGTTTTCAGTCCAGGAATTGTTTTAGGTGCTGTGATAGTGAATAAAGCTAATAGTGAATAAAGCTAACAAAAACCCTTCATAAATTTTAGTACAGAGGGAGAAACAGACAAGACATTTGTATATACACACACAGGTACATAAATGATGTAGCATGTCAGATGGCGATAAATACAACAGTAGAAAAACAAGGAAAGAAGCATAGGGAGGGTCGGAGTTGGGAGTGAGGAGTTTAAATGTTTAAATAGGAAGTTCTCAGAGGATGGCATCTGTGCAAACACCCAAAGGAAGTAAAGAAGGAAACTGGAAGAACACAGAGTCCCTGAGGCAGAAATATAGCTGCAGGAGTCCCCCTGTAAGTCTTGCAAAGTTATTCAAACTACTTACTTTCTTGTTAAGTTCTGATGCTTTCTCTTCAAACTCTTCTAGTTTTGCTTCATCTATGCAAATATCTAAAATTGGAATGATAAATTTTTCTTAAATTCACTGTTACTTTAAAAGTTTAGAAAGAAAAAATCACTGAGAAAAGTCAGAAATAATGTCAGTAATAAACAAAATGGAGAAGTATATAATATATAATGGAGAACGATTTTCTAAGCATGATACCAAGGTCATAAAATATAAGAGGAAAGATAAATCCAACTACAATTTTAACCTTGTATTAAGCAAAAGGAGGAGTTCAACTGTACATAGCAACAAAGGTTGCTATCCTCAGTTCATATTTTGAAGGAAAAGAAGATGATAGCCAATACAAATGGGGAAAATGTACAATAACAATGAGCATAAAATTAGGAATAAAAATCTAAAAATTGATAAGCCATAAGAACAGATAATTGAATTTTCCTAATAATATGAAAATATACAAATATTTAATTAGAAATAAGCAAAAATTAAATAATCCCTAATGCCAAGCACTGGAACTAGCATGGGGAATCCAACTCTCCTAAAAACAGTTGGAAGTATCATTAAGGAACTTTGCTAACAAGAAACTATGCAATATGTACTAAAATTTAAAATAAATACTTTCTTTCACCCAGTAATTCTATTTCTAGGACTTTGCTTTTAAGTAAGAAGATTCATTAAAATAGTGTTAGCAAAAAACTGCAATAAATATCCACTAATAATAGATTATAAAGCTCTGATAGGAATCCACAAGACGGGACGCTTCACAGGAGAAGTAATTCATATGGATGTCTCATGATGTACTATATCCCTTCTTTCTTTTTTAATGAAAGTAATAATGAACACTATTTAATAAAACATACTACAAAACTTATGAAAAGCAAGAATCAACCAAATCACTGCATCCAAAACTAGCCCCACTTCCTGAATGGGGCCACTTGCAGCTCTTTCTGTATTAGACTACTTTGGTGGTTAGCTGCTCAACTCTAAATACAGTGTGTACACAGTTATTTCTTGATTTAACCATGTAGGGCATTATGGATAACTTCCTAAATTATACTTTCCTGTATAATCCTAATTCTATAACTTTTTTTCACTTGGCTGGCTCTGTAGCACTAAATTAATACTCAATCCTCTGATTCCTATTGCATAGACAGCATCTCTTGAATCCCACCTTATTATGCTATCTGTGCCCTATACTTTCCAATATCCTATATTGTAATATATTGTAATATAATGTATATTCCTATACATTCCAACATCCACCTAAGCATGTTAACACAGTGAAACTGTCTTCTGTATTTAAGTCTTCTGCATTGTGTCTATAAGTTTATTTGAAACATTCATAATCAATCAACAGAATGAATTTATTTAAATATGTAACTAATTTCACTTATATAGCCAAGAAGTATTCAAAGATTTTATTTCCTTCTCAAGAATTCAATGTCAAAACCTTTCACCTACTCAAGAAAAATATTCCTAATGTCCAGGTAGAAAAAACTTTCTCTTCAGACACTATTCAAAATCATTCCATGTTTTAGTTTGCTGTACATTTAGAGAATATTTTCCTTTATTTCTATGTCCCTCCTACCCCCAAGAACTTCTTATTTCTTCTCTCTTAGGGAAAGAAACAAGCATTTGCTTTACCAGTGTCATTAGTATCATCTACTACCTTCTCATTCTATGCATCTCACACTTCTTCCTGAACTCAAATATTTTATGAGGAAAAAAACAACTTTATGCAAATAATACTCTTTGAATATTAAGTCAAGATTTGACATATGGTAACTTCTTAAACATTAGTTACCATGTGGAATCACATATCATTTCAAAGACTGTTTTGCACTCTGTTACTTATAAATCATTTAGACACATCAAGCCCTGGTCATCTGGGAAAGAGTGGTTTACAGGGTCATACAGATCCTTCAAATGGTGATACATCTCATCATACAGTATCAAAATAATCGTATAGGGTAATATCACCACTAATCTCATTAGGAAAAAATTTAGCGCTGCCAAGATGACAGTAGCAAATACAAGTTTTCCAAACTCAAATTTTTACATAAATGCTTGGATTTTATCATTGGTAACATAGTCTATCTTCATTTCATTCTTAGGAAAGTGTGTGCCAAACACTCACATCTAAGTAGCTACAATTTGTGTAACAATCACTTTTTCAAAGATTAAAAAAAAAACAGGCATCTCAGCTGGAGACTCAGGCAATTACACAAGTGCTTCCTCTTGGGGTTTGCAGCACAAGTGACTCACACATACAATATATTCACACAGAATATTGAAATTTGTATACACAAAGGTAAATGTCTAATAAAATTAATATTTTTTTAGTTCTTTATCAAGGACATTCTTAAGTAAAAAACAGCAGTTTCATTTCTTTTGTTTTACCAAAGAATTCCCAGGGCTACTGAGGTTTGGTGCTACTGCCTTGCATCACAACAGGGTGCCAGCAGTTTTCTCAATATTGCTCTGCAAATATCAAGATGGTGAAAAAGGCAAATAATGCCTCAGTACCATTGTGAAAATAGATTTGACTAGTAGGACCTTCTGAAAGGGTATCCAAGACCCTCCAGAGTCCACATTGCAAGAAACAACACTCTAGTGCTAACCCATGGGTAAGGGACAGAAGGTATTTCCATTTAAATAACAGTGACACACTCACCAACAAACTGACTTAAATCTAAGTCTAGTCTTTTTCGATATGTGAAGTCTGGATCCATCCCATCTCTATGCAGTACAATCTGAGATACACACTCATCAATTAATTTGAAGTACTGTTGCCTAGAACCAAGGAAAAGAATAAAGGTACACTCAATTTATCAGTGTAACTTTACATCAAAACAAAGCTATTTCATTCAGTAGCTTGATTTCCAGTTCAATAATATACTACTGTGCAGTTTTAACAGTTGATATAACAGACTTAACATGGGAGTGACAGTAAATACAAATGTCACTTTCCTTCTAATGATTTTAACACATTAATGTTTTCATAATCTTTTAGTTATAAATACAGTGTGCATTAAAGATCATTTTCTTATGAAAGTCAGAACTTGAGTTAATTAGTAGGCAGTGAAAAAGAGAATATTCAAATGAAGTGATACTGATACATGCTTAAACACAGTCCTCAGCAGAGATCATCAGCCTATCACTATACCGTACTGAAAGGGTTACCATTAATTCATTTTATTTTACAAATCAGAAGACATATTTTCTAAAAAATTATCTGGAAGGTTCTTAAAACCATACAGTTCACTGCTTTTACAATGTTTGGGATAATGTGAGTTATAAACAATATCAAATGAATATTTTTTACTTCAAGATAGAAAAATTCAGTTTAACAATTTTTCTCCAAAGTTTAAATTTAATTAAAATCCTCAACAGGCTTCATTTGTAACTACAATTAAGTTCAGTCCACCTGTATGAGTAACAAGTTAAAGAAATCCTTTGAAACAACTCAAGCCAACAAATGCAAAAGATTTTACAAACAAAACCAAACTACAGTTATGGGCAGGGGCGGGGGGCATAGGCCTCCATCCCAACCACTCAGGAAGACTTACTTCTTCTCAATGACATTTTGCACAGTTTTTCCTCTCCACCTTCTTCTCACTATGTATGTGATGGCACCTCAGCAACTTCAGCTTTCCATCCCTATAATCTATGACCTGGTGCTCTGGACTGACTTACTTACACCCAATAAACCATTCATTACACTGAATAAAATAAACTAGAGTTCAACATTAGCAAATAAGAAAATGTTCATTAACTGTCGTAGAGTGACTATTTAAGACAGTATTCTTAGGTACAGATCAAGGCAAGAAGGCATAATCATTGCTTTCCTCAACTTTCACAACTTCTTTTAAAGAAATAATCCCCTAGCTAATATCTTAGCTGTAATAACCATATTTACACTTGAGGTATTTATATATAAATTGCACACATTTCTATTACTTTTAAAAATTGAGATGACACATTCTGTCCCTTTTTTACTCTTTTTAATGTTATCTTGATGTTGTTTTAATAAAACATTTAAATTAACACAAGTTATTTTGTGTAATTTTTTAAAAACCATAATTTCATTAAATGCTTTCTCAGTTCCACCATTCTAAATTATGAGCTCATTTATAATGCAGATGAAAACTGATGCAGAAACTCTTTCAGCAAGGTAACAAAAGTAAAGAACAATATACTTATGGATTCCAGAAACGTAAATCTAGAAAATAGTCTTGATGTGAGACATTAGTAAGGTAGTGAATGTTAGAGTAATATGTAAACAACCTAATTAAGGAATAAATATAAATGTGATCACTTCACTAATATAAAATGTAATTTTTGTTGGAGAATATTTTGAAGTCAACTTCACTTTCTCTGCAGTTTTTTAACCAAAATCAGAAATTATCTCCATGCACATTCAACTCACATGCTATTTTGCACACAATAAGCCATCAATAATTTGTTACAGAATTGAATTTGATCTTCTATCCACCTTCCAATTAACTTGCTGCATTTGATTTTTCGTGCGGCCTTTGCTGTATATTTTCCAACTGAGTTCCATTTCATAAAATTTCCTTTTGTCCCAAAAGCAAAAGTGAGCAAAGATTTAAATTCATAGATTGAATTCTTTTAAGTGAGAATATTTTGCACTCTACAATGAAAATTAGATTAAAAGCTTTAGAAATTTTATTAATTATCAATATTAATTCTAAATGTTCATCAAGTGAAAATGTCCAGAAAACTGAAGATCTCTGAAAGGTAAAATCCAGGTCCACTTGAGATAGCAAAACCAAAAAAATGAAGAGGTAAACTGAAAAGAACAAGGTACACAGGACTGCACAACAAAAGTAAAATTTACTGTATGTGAACTAAAAGGTAAATACAGAAGAATTTTAAAGAATATATAGCAAAAGTATTATGTAGATGACCATAATTCTGACTCTATCCTGTAATAAATATATTCCCACTATAAGAATAAACAATCTAGGGGGTGGGATGGGGAGAGAGAAGAGAGAGAGATTCAAAAGGGAGGGGGTACATGTACACCTATGGCTGATTCCTGTTGAGGTTTAACGGAAAACAACAAAATTCTGTAAACCAATTATCCTTTAATTATAAAATAAATTTTTAAAAGAAGAATAAACAACAACAAACTAATAAATAAATGAGAATTTTGGTCCATGGGAAAGAACCAGTGGGGTCTTAACTAAGCAGTCACAGGAAGAACTCTGCCTTCATAGCAACCGGATCTGGAATGAAGACCAAGGGCCTTGGGCTGAAAGAGCCAAGGAAGAAGGGAACACAGATGATTATCAAACTTCACAGGTGATACTGAAAAACTGACCAAAAGAGAGGAACTTCTATGGCTCACTAATAACACTTTCATAATGCTACTATGACAGACCACAGTGAGAGCAGCCCTTAGCGTGTAGCCGTTGCTGGGCAACACTACTCTGTGCCCCGTTACCTGGCAACGGGTCCCACTCAGCCGTTGGTCGGTGCTAGAGTGGGCCCCGCCCCGCCCACAGGAAGCCACGAAGTGGGCGGGGGCGGGGGGGTGTCAGCCAAGAGTGGGGCGTGGCCATGAGGGGGAGTCAGGGAAGAGCAGACCCTGGCCTCTGCCCAGGGCCCTCTGGCACGTTCCCTGGCCCAGAACCAGCGGGTAAGCTGGGCACCCAGGGAGGAGGCCGGAGATGCGTCACAGAGGCTCCAGAGCCTTCCCCACAGCCACCCACGAGCCGGGGCCTTGAGGCGCTGGGGAACCACTCTGCAACCTCTTTCTCTGTGAGCGAAGAGCGGCAGCCATTGGCCTGGGCCGCAGGCTGTGGGCCCTGCCTCCTGCCCCCTTTTGGGGGCCTGAGGAACAGAGGGCCAGTGGGTCCTGGGCGCCAGGCTCCTCAGCGATGGCAGCTGGACAGAGTCTGGGAACCTGGCCCTGAGGGAGCCGCCAACTGAGGTGGGCCTCCTCTTGGCCAGGACCTGGACTTTGGAGGGTGAGAGCTGTGCCCTGGGACTTGGCACTTTGTTGTCAGGACAGAGAAGAACATTTTGTTTGGTAGAGATTTACAGGAACATCTTCACCTGACTGTGACCTGACTCCAAGAATAAGAATTTCACACCAGGAAGTCTGCACCAACTTACCACGGCCGTCCCCACCTTTCCTATAAAAGGGCTTTGTTGAAAGCTTTGGGGGAATTTGGGAATTTTAAACCATGAGCTACCCATCTTCTTGCCTGGCTCTGCAGTAAACTTTCTCTGTTCCAAACTCCAATGTCTTAGTATTGTTTGACCTCACTGTGAGTCAGGCCCACAGACTTGTATTTTCAGTAACACTACAATGTATTTCTCTAGACAGTTGATTCTACTAAAGTGATAGGCTTGCCTGAGCATGCCCCACAAGAGTTGTGCTTTTTAATCTGTTCTGAAGTTTAAAAACCACACGTCCTCCGGAGCACAGATGAAGGGACTAGAATCCTAAGTAAGAAATAACCTCCTTTACAGCACTAGGTGTGTGTGCTAAGTTGCTTCGGGGTGTCCAACGTCCAACTCTTTGTGACCCTGTGGACTGTAGCCTGCCGGGCTCCCATCCATCGAACTCTCCAGCCAAGAATATTGAGGTGGGTTGCCAAGCTCTCCTCCAAGGGATCTTCCCGACCCAGGGATCAAACCCACTTCTTTTGAGGCTCCTGCATTGCTGATAGATTCTTTACCACTAAGCCACCAGGGAAGCCCTTTGCCACACCATGGATACATTTAAACCTTCAAAAGCAATCAACAGTCTTAAATTTTTGGAAAATACAGGGATCAAGAAAAGGATAGGGTTACTTTAGAATGAGTGAAAGTCTCAAGTTTACTTTTAAATTTTCAGAAGAGTACAATGTTACAATTAGGGTACCTATGATTCTCAAAAATCATATTTAATCAAATATTAGTTTTTTATCTAGCATTTATAAAGTGGTTCAATAAACTGTCTTATTTAAATAAAAATTGAGAAACAAGCAAATGAAGCCTAACAGGTTCCTGACTCATATTTTAGAAGACCTTGGGATTTGCCAATTCTACAAAGGAAGGAAGTAGAACAGGCGGTCATACTCATCGCAACCTAAAGTTTTACCATGTTTAGGTAAAACTGCTCACTTGTTAGGTACATCAAAAACCTAAATTACTCCCTCTGACATCACCCAGAGGACACAGCCTGAATGAAACTAACAACTCCTTCTACTTGAAATCAGAGTAAGAAAAGACATACTATCCACAGTATTTGAGAAAAACTTTCAGCAAAGTTAATGGCAGCCAAAATGGCTTCATACTCAAAAGATCTTAGCTTCCTTCATAAAACAGCAATAAAAAAGTGCTCAGTTACTCAGCCATGTCTGACTCTTTGTGACCCCATGGACATGTATGTAGCCCGCTAAGACGCTCTGACCATGGAATTTTCCAAGCGAGAATACTGGAGTGGGTTGCCATTCCTACACCAGGAGATCTTCCCAACCCATGGATCAAACCTACATCTCTTGAGTCTCTTGCATTGACAGATGGATTCTTTACCACTGAACCACCTGGGAAACCCGTATAACTACAGGCAGATATGGATAACAGTTAATTTCTTTTTTTTTTTCATTTATTTTTATTAGTTGGAGGCTAATTACTTTACAATATTGTAGTGGTTTTTGCCATACATTGACATGAATCAGCCATGGATTTACATGTATTCCCCATCCCGATCCCCCCTCCCACTTCCCTCTCCACCCGATCGCTCTGGGTCTTCCCAGTGCACCAGGCCCGAGCACTTGTCTCATGCACCCAACCTGGGCTGGTTAGCTGTTTCACCATAGATAATATACATGTTTCGATGCTGTTCTCTCAAAACATCCCACCCTCGCCTTCTCCCACAGAGTCCAAAAGTCTGTTCTGTACATCTGTGTCTCTTTTTCTGTTTTGCATATAGGGTTATCATTACCATCTTTCTAAATTCCATATATATGTGTTAGTATACTGTAATGGTCTTTATCTTTCTGGCTTACTTCACTCTGTATAATGGGCTCCAGTTTCATCCATCTCATTAGAATTGATTCAAATGAATTCTTTTTAATGGCTGAGTAATATTCCATGTTCCTTATTCATTCGTCTGCTGATGGGCATCCAGGTTGTTTCCTTGTCCTGGCTATTATAAACAGTGCTGCAATGAACATTGGGGTGCACGTGTCTCTTTCAGATCTGGTTTCCTTGGTGTGTATGCCCAGAAGTGGGATTGCTGGGTCATATGGCAGTTCTATTTCCAGCTTTTTAAGAAATCTCCACACTGTTCTCCATAGAGGCTGTACTAGTTTGCATTCCCACCAACAGTGTAAGAGGGTTCCCTTTTCTCCACACCCTCTCCAGCATTTATTGCTTGTAGACTTTTGGATAGCAGCCATCCTGACTGGCGTGTAATGGTACCTCATTGTGGTTTTGATTTGCATTTCTCTGATAATGAGTGATGTTGAGCATCTTTTCATGTGTTTGTTAGCCATCTGTATGTCTTCTTTGGAGAAATGTCTGTTTAGTTCTTTGGCCCATTTTTTGATTGGGTCATTTACTTTTCTGGAATTGAGCTGCAGGAGTTGCTTGTATATTTTTGAGATTAATCCTTTGTCTGTTGCCTCGTTTGCTATTATTTTCTCCCAATCTGAGGGCTGTCTTTTCACCTTGCTTATAGTTTCCTTTGTTGTGCAAAAGCTTTTAAGTTTCATTAGGTCCCATTTGTTTATTTTTGCTTTTATTTCCAATATTCTGGGAGGTGGGTCATAGAGGATCCTGCTGTGATTTATGTCGGAGAGGGTTTTGCCTATGTTCTCCTCTAGGAGTTTTATAGTTTCTGGTCTTACATTTAGATCTTTAATCCATTTTGAGTTTGTTTTTGTGTACGGTGTTAGAAAGTGTTCTAGTTTCATTCTTTTACAGGTGGTTGACCAGTTTTCCCAGCACCACTTCTTAAAGAGGTTGTCTTTTTTCCATTGTATATCCTTGCCTCCTTTGTCGAAGATAAGGTGTCCATAGGTTCGTGGATTTATCTCTGGGCTTTCTATTCTGTTCCATTGATCTATATTTCTGTCTTTGTGCCAGTACCATACTGTTTTGATGACTGTGGCTTTGTAGTAGAGCCTGAAGTCAGGCAGGTTGATTCCTCCAGTTCCATTCTTCTTTCTCAAGATTACTTTGGCTATTCGAGGTTTTTGGTATTTCCATACAAATTGTGAAATTATTTGTTCTAGTTCTGTGAAAAATACCATTGGTAGCTCGATAGGGATTGCATTGAATCTGTAGATTGCTTTGGGTAGTATTGCCATTTTGACAATATTAATTCTTCCAACTCATGAACATGGTATGTTTCTCCATCTGTTTGTGTCCTCTTTGATTTCTTTCATCAGTGTTTTGTAGTTTTCTATGTATAGGTCTTTTGTTTATTTCACTCCTAAATATTTTATTCTTTTTGTTGCAATGGTGAATGGTATTGTTTCCTTAATTTCTCTTTCTGTTTTCTCATTGTTAGTGTATAGGAATGCAAGGGATTTCTGTGTGTTAATTTTATATCCTGCAACTTTACTATACTCGCTTATTAGCTCTAGTAATTTTCTGGTAGAGTCTTTAGGGTTTTCTATGTAGAGGATCATGTCATCTGCAAACAGCGAGAGTTTCACTTCTTTTCCTATCTGGATTCCTTTTACTTATTTTTCTGCTCTGAATGCTGTGGCCAAAACTTCCAAAACTATGTTGAATAGTAGTGGTAAGAGTGGGCACCCTTGTCTTGAACCTGATTTTAGGGGAAATGCTTTCAATTTTTCACCATTGAGGGTAATGCTTGCTGTGGGTTTGTCATATATAGCTTTTATTATGTTGAGGTATGTTCCTTCTATTCCTGCTTTCTGGAGAGTTTTAATCATAAATGGATGTTGAATTTTGTCAAAGGCTTTTTCTGCATCTACATAGATAATCATATGGTTTTTATCTTTCAATTTGTTAATGTGGTGTGTTACATTGATTGATTTGCGGATATTAAAGAATCCTTGCATTCCTGGGATAAAGCCCACTTGGTCATGGTGTATGATTTTTTTATTATGTTGTTGGATTCTGTTTGCTAGAATTTTGTTAAGGATTTTTGCATCTATGTTCATCAGTGATATTGGCCTGTAGTTTTCTTTTTTTGTGGCATCTTTGTCTGGTTTTGGAATTAGGGTGATGGTGGCCTCATAGAAGGAGTTTGGAAGTTTACCTTCTTCTGCAATTTTCTGGAAGAGTTTGAGTAAGATAGGTGTTAGCTCTTCTCTAAATTTTTGGTAGAATTCAGCTGTGAAGCCATCTGGTCCTGGGCTTTTGTTTGCTGGAAGATTTCTGATTACAGTTTCGATTTCCTTGCTTGTGATGGGTCTGTTAAGATCTTCTATTTCTTCCTGGTTCAGTTTTGGAAAGCTATACTTCTCTAAGAACTTGTCCATTTCTTCCAAGTTGTCCATTTTATTGGCATAGAGCTGCTGGTAGTAGTCTCTTATGATCCTTTGTATTTCAGTGTTGTCTGTTGTGATCTCTCCATTTTCATTTCTAATTTTGTTAATTTGGTTCTTCTCCCTTTGTTTCTTAATGAGTCTTGCTAATGGTTTGTCAATTTTGTTTATTTTTTCAAAAAACCAGCTTTTAGCTTTGTTGATTTTTGCTATGGTCTTTAGTTTCTTTTGCATTTATTTCTGCCCTAATTTTTAAGATTTCTTTCCTTCTACTAACCTTGGGGTTCTTCATTTCTTCCTTCTCTAGTTGCTTTAGGTGTAGAGTTAGGTTATTTATTTGACTTTTTTTTCTTGTTTCTTGAGGTAAGCTTGTAATGCTACGAACCTTCCCCTTAGCACTGCTTTTACAGTGTCCCATAGGTTTTGGGTTGTTGTGTTTTCATTTTCATTCATTTCTATGCATATTTTTATTTCTTTTTTGATTTCTTCTATGATTTGTTGGTTATTCAGATGTGTGTTATTTAGCCTCCATATGTTTGAATTTTTAATAATTTTTTTCCTGTAATTGAGATCTAATCTTACTGCACTCTGGTCAGAAAACAGTTAATTTCTTTAAACAATTTGTTGAGTTCAAGATGTCTAAGGTATAACCAAATGACTTCAAAAGTTACTTGTATAGCTTTCTGATACATTAGCAACATTAAACATAACTGTACTATTAAGGAACTTTCTAGCTACTTAAACACTAATAAAAGTGATGTTTTACTATCTTTTTTATAACTTATAAAAAGAAACTTATCAACACCATTCCTACTGCCCAAGGACTAAGCAGAAAATATTATCCATCATGCAATAAATTAGTAATAAGTAAATTTGTTGCTAGTTCTTATTTTTATTCAGATGAAAAACTGTAACCAAGAATCTGCTAGAGCTTAAAAAGTAATAGTAATATCATTTTATACCATCATCTATCTAAATATATGCCCATAGGAAACACTGTATACTATGAATTAATACTATGAAAGAAAGAAATCTTAAAAATATGTGCATGTTCAAATCAAACAGCTGGTGAATTTCACAATATAATTTTATTAGTGAAAGAAAATATTAGAATATAGCTTCCTCTTACCTTATAAAATAATCATTTCGAATCAGCAAAAGATGCTGCAGAATTGAAATGAAATACCCCTCTGCTCTGGTTTCCTTAACTGTGTTCCACAGCATGTTGTAAAGATCATTCGCTTCAGTAAACTGATTAAGGAATATGTGGATTTATTTGCCCTCTACACCCAACAACGGCAGTAAGTGACACGGAATCTGCTGTGTAAGGCCTCAGAAGATGCTGTCTTAGTCCAAACCAGGGCCGCATAGACCGAGCATGTGATAAAGCGCATGTGGCCAGCTGTGAGAGCAGAGGGAGGCCGCACGACACTCTCCGGCCTCCCCTCCACAGCCGGCTCTAGCCAGGCTCCCCTCTCGCGCCAAGGCGCTCTGGCAGAGCGGCAGAGAGCTGCTCACGAAGGCGGCACTGGGCTCTGGGGCAGCCGTGACCGAGAGAGCCGGTGCCAGGCATTACCTACCACGGCACACCCCAGTGGAAGACAGAGATGCGGCACAAACACAGACGTCTGCAGAGGCACAGAGCCAGCCAAGGCTCGTAAGAAAATACATGCAAGGTACAGGGCAGAAATGACCAGCAGGCTAAGGGGCCTACTCCTAATACTGGAAAGCACTGGGGGCAGCAGGGCTCCAAACAGAAAGAACAGACTGCACATGTGCACATTAAGAGGCCTCCAGTATCCAGTTTTAACGTGCAACATTCATTTATATAAGCATGTTTTCATAAAAACACATATAAACTAATAAAATAAAAAGGTTTATACAAACATCCCTCTGATTCAATAAAGTTTTGATTTTATAGCATTTACCTAGAAATGGCTTCAGAAGTTTAACATTTTAGGGTTAGGGGCTGACTGTTTAAGATTTAGCAGCAATTATTAGTAATTAATACATATTTGATTGGACATCAGACAAAAGGATATTCAAATTCAGCTCTAATATCTTCAAGGCGATGGGAGAACTCCATCAAATCTTCTTCCTTATGCTCATCAAAGACTTTAAGTTGGATATCCAAGCCATCATTCTTAATATGTTTTAAATTCTACAGATATTAAATTGAAATTATGAGGAACTGTTTGGTTTTAATAATGCAAAAAATTAATGAAAAATATAAACAATAAAGAAACCACTCAATTTGATTTATAGCATTCAAAGACTTAAAAGTGTTAACTAATACTCAAAACTTATCGTCTGTATTTCAAAAATAGATTTTATACTCAAGCCTTTTTTCCCATAGATAAATTATTCTTGAAAGTAATTTATCTAAATTTCCCCCTACTCAAGTACTTCTCTAATTTAAATATTAATAAGAAGACTGCAGGGCACTTACTGGCAATATCTCTTTCAATCCACAACGCATAAATTCATTTCTGATGTGAAGCCTGAAGTCCAAGTCATCAGGAGATGTAACAAGAGCATTGATGAGCTGCATACACGCTACCTATAATAAATTACACAGCAAGACTTAGACTTGGATCAGACATTTAAAAAGGAGTAATAGCACTGAGACATCAAGGCTGTATTCCAAGTATTATCAAATATCTTCCTTCACAGGTGAGTCTATTAAAACGATAATTTGAATGTAAAATACTTTAGTCAATTATAAATTATACAAGAAATATATTTTCAGTGGAGTTTTTAATTCACTCCAACCAAAAGTTAAGTTCTTGTCCAAAAATATCATTCCATGCACACAAGACATAAACTGAACACACAATAGTTGAAAAACTATAAATATCCTTAGGTAACATTTAGCTAAACTACGATAATAAAATAACTTCCTATTCATCAAGAGAAACCCAAAGACTTTAAGTCAACAAGAATTAACTAAGGCATGCATCTAGTTAATGGGGTTGCTATAACCAAAAACTGTATTATGAACATTGCAAGGCTAATTACTGGTTTGGTCCCTGGGTTGGGAAGATCCCCTGGAGAAGGAAATGGCAACCCACTCCAGTATCCTTGCCTGGAAAATCTCATGGACAGAGGAGCCTGATGGGCTGCAGTCAATGGGGTCACAAAGAGAGGGGCACAACTGAGCAACTAACACTTACTTACTTATTACTTAACTGACCAGGCACCGGTCCCTACACTTTGACAAAAATTCAGACCTACTGTATGTTATGTTTATTAAGAAGACATAAAGAAATAACATGGCCAACTGCACTAAAAATTAAAAATCATATTTTCTCAACTTTCACCCTGGAACTCCAACTTTCAACTTGGATATCATTTTTTTTTTAAATTACTGGCTGAACTGTATCTTTCATTATCAAAAATCTATATAATGAAAACAAAGGAGACTGTTTCTAGGCAAGCAAAGAATTCTTCATTGTTGTCGATGGTTATTTTTCTAAGTCTACATTCTACCAAAAGCCAACAAGAAAGACTAGCGTACTGATCAATATGTTTAACCTCATGCTGCTCTCTAAACTGTCCTTTCTCCATCCCTTAAGGCAAGGTCTATATGAATTTAAAATGCCATTTTGGGATTAAAACACCAACAGGGGTCTGAGTTCCAGCTGGTTGAAATATATTGTAATTGTTCTATTTGATATCTAAACACTAAAATCTGGCCAGCATGCCTCTACTGTCAAAATCTGAAAGAGGGAAAAGAAAAACATATTTAGAAGAAAAAGAAAAGAAAAACTTAAAACAGAGTCTACCTTTCAGTACATGTTCACTCAACTGTAAACAGTTCATGTCAAAAAGTCAAGTTTAAAAGGCTTTCTTTGCACTTCCTTGCCAGTCATTACCCAGTACCCACAAATTTTTTTTCAGCATTATAAAAGATCTCAAACAGCATACAAATCATGTTTCTATACGTTCAGAGAAATTAAATTAGCATTAGTCACCAGGTTTCCAGAAAAGATGCAAATTATAGACAAAGAAAGCAGCAAAAATAAACAACCTAAAAATTAGCAGCAAATATCACCTAAATGGAAAGTCAATATATATAGAACAATATTAGCACAAAATTAAGGCGAAAGAAATGGAAAGGATCATCCAAATTGCTTCCAGGAAACATTTTAAAGGCAATTTCCAATAAAAGGAAAAATAGGAAATTGACAAAGTGAAATAATGAATTTAATTCTTTAAGATCCTTTCCCAATTCTAATGGTAATTTACCATTATCACGACCTATACCCACTCTTTGATTAATTTATAGCCTGTAAACATATGTCTACATACAGTAAAATGTATTGATTTATTTTCTTACAGATGAAGAATTCTATAGTCAAGGTAAAGACCAAAGAGTTCCTTCTAGGTTTTTAATACATACACTGAGATATTTGGACCTGTTTTACCACATGATTTCACACTGATACAGCATACCAGTATATAAATCAACTTCTATAGACAGTAGAAAAGGCTCAGGAACTAAAAGGTAAAACAGCACACGTTGTCTACCCTAGTGAAGATAAGTAGGTACAATAACAAAAATATACCCTAACAGATATATGAGAATATATTATATGAGTATACGGAGACAGTAATAAAAACAAGGACAGCTGAGGAGCAGAACTGACTCTCAAGGATTAATTGGAAGACAGGCAGCCAGATGAAGAGGAAGACCAAGGTGTTCAAATATGAGTTAACATATTCAAAGCCCTGGGCCCTTCTGTTGAATCACAAGGAATTCAGATTTTCTGAGCAGTCTGTAAAGGTAGTAAGTGGGAGAGCAGGGGAAGGACTCATTAAAGATGAGGCCAGACAGATGAAGCACAGCCTCCTAGGCCAAATCAGAGAGTGCTGGTTCAGCTGGAAATAGGGAGAATCATAAAGGATTTCATGCAGAGGAGAGGTAATAATAGAGGTAACAGATTAAGTGAAGAAGTGATCTTAGGACTCCCCTAATGATCCAATGGTTGAGACACAAAGCTTCCAATGCAAGGGCCACAGGTTCGATCCCTGGTCATGAACCTAAGATCCCACACGCCACACAGCATGGCAGGGAAATAAAGCTATCATAGCGGTAACCTCAGTGAGCAATGAGGAGGTCTTGAACAACCTTTCTAAAACATGTGATGGCTGGGTGAACATATGATTGAGACCAAAGAAAAGAATTTGAGAGTTCTCCTGCCTTTGTATTTCAACAAGATAGGAGGTGGGAGTATTGACACATGAAATGCAAGGAGAGAAACAAATTTCACAGGAAGACTAGAATAAATCCTGCTTTTAAAAATGAAATGTACATTAGGAATCACATATTCATTTAAAAACCTAGTTATTGAATGCCAGGATATTAACAGAAACTCCAGGAAATAATGAAATTGTGATATTCATCATAAGGAATTAATCATCATGTCTGCTTGATGTTCCAATAGCATAGTATATATGATCTCCATTAATTTGCATTAAGTATGCCATACTAACAGTTTGAAAGGCAGACAAAAGCTACCTCACCCCAGAACTGATAACTGAAGGGGGTAAGAAAACAGGAGTTTCTGCCCTCCTCCTGGGAGCATCCTAAGTTAAATAAAGGCTCTATCTTGGGGCATCAGACCCTCTCTGTTTATTAGGTTATGCATTTCATTCCTTCCAAGCCTGTTAGTGATGTCTACTAAGGACTTATTGGTACTGGGGACACAACTATGAAAAGAAAAAGACAGAAATCACTACTAAAGAAAGGGAGGAGTCAAGACTGACTCCACAATTTCTGACCAGAGCAATTTAAAAGCTGACAGTCATTTATTAAGATGGAAAATAAATATGGATAAACAGAGGAAACAGGTTTGGGAAGAAAGATCAGGAGTTCCATTTTAGAGATGTTAAGTTGGAAATACCTAATATTGATCCTTATCCAAAGAAGTAGAAAAGGAAATTGGATATAGGATACCCTAGTTCAAGAAAGAGAATACCATAGCAATTGCATGTAAAAGCCAAATCTCAGATGATCATCAAGAAAGGAGAAGAGAGAGAAAGAGAGAGAGAGAGAAGAGGTCCAAGACTGGCTGGGCCATTTCAGTTTCATCAACCTCAACTGCAGGTTTTGAGTTACAGATCGGGGAAATGAGTTAAAGAAAAGTAGAAGGGTATAACGTGGTAGAAAACAAACAAGGAGAAGTCTGAAACATACGGGAGGAAAGTGTGTCAACAGGGAGAGTGATCCCCTGTGTCAAATAAGATCATGATCACTGCATCTGGCAAAATGGTGACTTAACGAGCAGTTTCTACAAAGGGCCAGAACTGCTCTTCCACTTGGAAAACTCTCTCTCTCATGTCCCATCAACAACCAGTACATGAAAGCACACAATTAAACTGACCCTAAAATATTCTCCTCCTTACTGCAAACGTGTGTTTAGAAACACTTCATTAACACTTTAGAAAAACTGCTTATTGACCTTTGGTTAAAACAAGGCATCTCTAGGTGTTAGATCATGGACTCCATTTTAATGATTTAGAAAGTAAATGCTATAAACTTAATTGTTACTCTTGCCCCCATTATCAGAAAGGAAGCTTACATGAGAAAAGCTACTTTTAACATAACTTCTAGCTATAAAGACATATCTGCACACGTGCACACAGGCATGTCAGCTAGAATTCGGGATAGCTGAGGATTTCCTCAGGAGCAGCAACAAACTGAAAACGCACTACAAAACCCACACAGCCAAGGATGAGGAAAACACGTAGCCAAAACCACAATCACAAGCGGTGGGGAAAGTGTCAGCAACGACATGAGCTAGAAAGTAAAGACCACTGGAAAAACCACAGCCTTGACTAGACGTATAACAAGGGACACATAAACTGTAAGCAAAAATCGCAAAGATATTCAATAAGAGGGACAGAGCTTATCAAAGGCCATCTTAGAACAAGGCAACTGATCAAAGGAAAATCATTAGAAGTAGACAGAAATTAAACAGCAAGACAAAGACACACACAGGAATTAACATCACTAATCAGCAAAGTAGTTTTCCGCCCTTGAAAATGAAGTGAGGAGGTTTCGTCATATGTAAATACATATTACCTAAATTTCCTCTACCACATAGTTTAATGTAATGCTATCTATCACTATGTGCAACACAAAAGGAGAAAAACATTCACATTTTATGCATCTTTAACTTTCAGTTTCCAAACCTTTTTCGACTAACAAGTTTGAGCACAAAATTCCAGGCACACTAAGAGCTGTGATGCTTGAGACCAACCACCGGCTTGTCCGCGTTTTGCCGAGGCCACCAGCACGGATGCTTCCTCCAAGATTATGCCAAAGGAACTGAAAAGTTATCCAACAAACAGCAAAAGCAAGTGTTCTTTAGAAAGCTCACAACTGGGCAACAGGTTCATCCTGAATACGAGGAGATGTTTTCATATGTAAAATGATGGCTATACTACACTGAACACATATCAGCTTCACAAGCTGAATGCAGACTGCAAACCAGCACCCATGAAGTACTTAAATAAAAATTCTATCAGAACATGTGAATGCCTGCTCTCTGGGCC